TACCAATTGTGGTAATGATGGCTGTAAAACTATAAAATACCAACTGGAATACACCAAAACTCATTGAAATGGACCTTTAAATAGTAAATTGCATGTCATGCAAATTAGAAAAAAAGTCACTCACTCATTTTCAAGGAGTCAGAACAAACTCTAGCCAACTCTTCAGTGGGTTTTTGGAGGCTATGGATTGCACAGAAGATTGCCTGTCTCTCTTCCTGGGAGCCACTGTTGTATTGATCACTAGCTCCCTGACTTGAAAGCTCTTTGTGTTTTCCTTCACTTAAAGGCAGGTACCTACAACTGCAATCAGTGTCAGAGTGCTGATATTTAGGGAAGATGTACAAGAATTTTATAAAACAAACTAACAGTCATGATACCAACCATAATTTCCCTGTTTTTTTTAAAAGAATTCCCTTAATTATGAGCAAAAAGTACATGAGGTTTAACCATATGTCCCAACTGCTATTGTTTATTCTGCTCATAAAGAAATAATACTTAAAAATATTTAACCCTGGGTAGTGCATTAAGGTCACCTATGAAGCTTAGATATGCCTCTTTCTAATATAAATTCTGATTTCACTAAGTTTGGGTGTTAACCAAGTCCAAGCTTCGAAACTATTAGTAGTAATTTGACTTAATACCCACTAGATGGCACTAGCATTCCCAAGAATAGAAAAGAAGTCAGAAGAGTATTGAATATGTTAATGGTTTTGTCTTTGCACTTTGCATGTATCTGCCTTTAGACGTCTATATTGAGCCACTTTCATTATCTAAAATTACTAGCACGTTGTTGTTGTTGTTGTTGTGTACCGTCGAGTCAGAACTGACCTATAGCTGACCCTCCTCCAATGGGCTTTCAGAGCCAGTAAATTGCATGGGAAGAGATGGCCTCTCTTTCTCCTGTGAAGCAACTGGGGGGTTCAAACCTAATAGCTTTGTGTTGTCACACTTCCTTACCACTAAGCCACCATGGGATTTGAAAATGACCATTTTACTTACTGCTCCACAATATGGACCGGTGAATGGATAATTAGCATCTGGCCCATCATAGAGTCTGAGATAGTTCTGGACACAATCTCCCGGGTCATTGATGCTGACAAAGTAGAAGCTGACTGTGACCGCTCGCCCAGCAGGAGCAGAGATGGTCCACTCACAGTGCGTGCTGTTTGGGTAAGTGTCAGGATAGCCAGGGCTAGTGAAGGACCCGCTGTCTCCATAAAGAGTCCCACCACAACCTATAAAAAAAATGGCAAGAAATGAGGTAACAGTCCTCAGATCTGCGTTAGTGCATGCGCAAGGTCACAGGCCTCAATTGCCTTGGGGGCGTGAGCTCTCCCCAGGAACTGTGAAGGCAGAAACCCTTTTCCTGTTCCTTCATTAGGCTCCTTCTCACCTCCACCCTCCGTTTTCCTTTCCCCTGCACCTCCTGCTTTAGGGACAACTTCTGCAGGGTTGTTCTTTGAAAATAGTGGATTCATAAAACAATGGGAAATCAGAGTACTTGATAAAATAATTACTAAGTGCCATCAACTCATGGCGACCCCACGTGTGCATAAAAGAACTACACTCCAGTGAATTGTTAAGGCTGTGACCTCTAAGAAGACTGTAGGTCCTGTTTTCTGAAATGCCACTGAGTGGGTTTGAACTACCAATCTTTTGGTTAGTAGCTAAGAGCTAAGTGTTTGGACCTTTCAGTTAGGGCAAGTCTGTGCACTTTTGATGATGTACAGCTCTCTATGTGCTGTCAGTTGATAATGATGGAGGTGAGTTAAAATTTCAGAGGTAAATGGAAAGAAAGCCTGTAATTGTGTTTTTTGGTGGTGGGTTTTTGTGTGTGTGTGTTTTTTTTTTTCAGATAATCTTATGATTTATTTAACCAAGAATGAATATTTGAGGAAGAGTAGTGTTTCTTATGGTCTTAGAGGCTTATAGATACAAACATTAACTGATTTTTACAACTTTCTTTTAATATTTTTTAAAAATTGTGATTTCAATGGAAGTTTGCAAATAAATTGGTTTTTCATTAAAGAATTTATAGATTTATCTCCTCTTCCTTCCTCCTTCATTTCTTCTTTCTTCTTTTTTTTTCAGATACCAATTTTATATTGTTGTTGTTTTAAGTGCCATCCAGTCGTAGGCAACTCATATTGACCCTATGAACGAAAGACCTGAACACTTGTATAACTTTCATCCTTTCTCCAGGTTCTCTAGGGTTTCTGGAGGCAAACTATTCCGGAAGTGGATGCCACTCCTGTTTCCAAAATCTGAGAGCTCCACCAAACACTGTCCACCATGGGTAACCATTACCACATTTGTCACAGTGTTCAGCTTCACAGCAACCACAAGTTAGTTACCTTTGTATGTCAAGTAGACAGACCAGGGCTGCTATATGATCTAGAAGACTGTTTGACCAAAAACAATTAAAAACAGGCCCAAGGGCTTGGTAGCACATAGGAAAACAAAAGATCTTTAACAACTTGGATTGGAAAATTGGTACGCGTTTGAACTGGTTTATAAAGGACAGTCCCAAGATTAGTATATTTAAAGCTCTTTATGCATTGTTCTTAATCTGTGAAATTTGTTAACTTGTATACTAAAAAGCTCATTGTTGTTGAGTCACAATGGACTCAAAGCTGAACCTAGGTAGGTTTTCAGAAGTTGTAAATTGAGTGAGAAGAATATACACATTATTCTCCTGCAGAGTAGCTGATAGATTTGAACTGCTTGCTTTTGGGTTGGGAGTACAACTCTCTATCCATTAGGCCAGAGTAGCTAGCTACAAAGATTGAAAATTCCTAAACCCAGGAAAGAAACTTCATGAAGGTCCTGGGCTGTGTGTCCAATACCTAGAATTCTAATCCATTATTTGCCAAAATCTAGCTGCTTTTTGGTAACTCATTAATCTTGGTGTTTTATTTCTAAATTGTACAATTAGGGCACTGGAGAAGATCTCAAAGCTTCCTATATGTATCAGTATTTCATTATCTACCGCCATCTTGCTACAACTCTTTCCTTGCCCCTTACTGTATTTACACGAGTCCTTTTTTTATCATTCTTATTTTGAATATATAACATATCCCGAAGGGTTTAGGTATTTGGAGGAAGTTTATCAAGCGTAATGAATTGGCATGACTTAAACTTCCTTCAGTTATTTGGTAAACAATCAACCGTCATGCAAGAATGTATGTAGTGTCATTAAAAAGCTATTAATCTCCATGAGGACCAAGAATGGCAGGGCCTGTTATTGTGTTTGCATAAGAATATGTTCACAGTTGGGCTTCTAAATAAACTCCTGTGCATTAATTCTCAAAGAACTAACTTGAAGATCTAACCAGCCATCTTACAGAATGGTTTGAATTCTCTCATAATCCAGATTTTCAGGTTCACAGGACTGGGGTAACTTAACATCCTACTATGTCCTTTTGAATTTTTAAGGATGTGGTTCCCAGGAGTCATCATCAGATCAAACACTGTACTAGTGAGCAGCTTCATGTTGAACATTTGGCCGTGAACACTGGATGCTTTGGGAACTGTGTGCAGTCAATTGAGAATTGCAAGACCTCCAGAATGTGATCAGATGCTCTGTTTTAGGATGTCCTGAATAATTTCTGTAACTGATACAGCCTGAAATGTACCTGTCCTTGATATGGTCTCTTGATAAATTCACAAAACAATGACCTATAGAATCAGCTTTTCTTGTCCCTTCTTGAGGGTACCTTTCCCAGATGTTTGGATGATGAAATCCCATTTGAATTGTATCTGCTCATAATAAATACAAAGGACATCAGGTGACTCAGAGATAAGGAGTTGTTTATCCAACCCACAAGCACATAGAATGAATCAACCAGCTGCTCCACAGGAGATAGATGGACAATTTCCTCTCATGCGATTTACTGCCTCTGAAAATCTACGGTAGAATAAGCTATGGGAAAGTTACGACTTGAGTGTACATTTTACAACACATAATCTGTTACATTAATATTTGGTGTTTCCTTAAAGCTTTTAGGCTTTTGGAAATTCAAAAAGTCTAAGAAAATTCAGACTTTAGAAAATAATTTTCAATCTTTGCATGTTGTTGTTTACCATAGAGTTGAAATCTACCCATAGCTGACCCTTCAGTCAGTTTTCAGAGGCCATAATGGCATGGAAGGAGATTGTCGATTCTTCTCCCACAGAGTAGCTAGTTACCTCGAACTACATGCCTTTGAGATTATTACAGTGCAGCTTCTTGCCAGTAGGCCATAAATACATATATTCATTTATATACAGAAATAATGTAAACAGAATTAAAGAGAACCTCAATACTTTCATTGACAAAATTGTATCTTTTTTTAACAGAAAATAGTCAAGTACAAAAATGTCTAAAAGATATGTTACTTTACCTAATTTTTTCTGTTATGCATTTTACCTTCATTACTTTCCCTTATAGAGTGAAAACATCTTACCAGAAGGTGATGACGTCCAGATGATTTCATATCCACGATTGGAAATGTCTCCATTACTCTTAAATCGCAGGTATAATTCATTGTTTTGAGAAAAGATGGGATTTGGCAGTAAAGTTCCACAATATTTGCCAAGTAATGGGTAACTGCTATCACTTCCATTCCTTACCTTTGAAAAAAAAATCACATCCACATATTATTACATTTAAGCACATTATGCCATTTCCTTATCTGCTGTTGTGATCCATTAAGAATTGAAGTGTGGTAGTAGTGGTGAAGAACATTGACTATACCCCTGAATTATCTCCTAATCTGCCAAAAGGACAAACAAATATGAGTTGATCTGGAGACGTGTAGCCAGAGTGCTTATTAGAGGTGAGGATGGGGAGACGCAGGACATCCTAGAATGGATGGAAAGCATTCATAATCCAGAATCTGCCTGTGAAGCACATTCTTTTCCTCCTTCATCTTACTATGTACCTCACATGAGCATCAGTCAGGCATGTTGTCAGGTACAAAGACATCATGTTTGGAAAAGTAGAAGGTCAGAGAACATGAAGAAGTTCTTTAAGCAGACGAATTGACACAGTGACTGCAGCCATGGGCGTAAGCCCAGCAGAGATTGTAAGGATGACACAGGATTGGACAGGGTTGTTTTGTTGCACACCAGGCTACCGGGGGTCTGAGCCAACTGGGTGGCACCTAACAACAGCAGGCATTAGGAGAGACACAATATGAATGATGAAAAGCTTTGTCTCTGTGGATACTTGTAAATGAAGTTTTTTCTGTGAATTATCCTCACAAGTCACTTGCAGTTTCAAAGAACAGAAATGTTTAATTCATAAAGAAAAAAACAACCCATTTGCATTTGTATTCTGCAATAACTGTAACTTAGAGCAATTAAAACAGCAAGGCACATTTTCATATACTGGTTAGTGCTATGATCCTGTAACCTTTGTTCCTGGAGAGACATTTTGAAGAATGTAGGTAAAGTGAATTTTTTAAAAGGTGATAGAGCAGGCAATGTTGCCCCTTGTGATTATAGTCAATTATATTCTACTCATTGGACTGTGGTTTTGCTTTGGGGTTTTTTCCTCCATTGAAAACTGCTCTTTTTTAAAGGGCAGGGGGACAATGTGCGAAGTGTAATAAACTTGAAAACAAAAGGAATTTCTGCACTGGAAAGGACCCAGATCAGCAAAGCTATAAACATTTCTGACTTATTACATATCTTTAAAAACCATTCTCAAGCTGGGAATTTCTGTTTTCAACTCACTGTATGAGGTAGACACTCACAAAACCAGAAAAATTAGTCAATGTGTGTGTGCGGATAACCACATTGTGAATTCAATCACTCTGTTATCCAGTAAGTCTCCTCCGGCAGTGGTATCCAGTCAGGTTCCTACGGTGCATTCACACCTGCCCCTACACGAGAACTCTTGAGCCCTAGTAAAGAATTATTATACAGGAACTTGTTAAATCAACAAGTATTAATGTTGATACATGCATTCAAAATACTGAAAGCTTCTCCATTCTTTTTTATAATTTCATAGTTCAGAACACAGTTTAGTGCTGGTGTCTTAAGTCATGGAATCTCTTTCATAGGCACAGTGACCAGTCTTTCTGTATAGTAGCCAATCAATCAATGCACATGTACATACATTCATACATATAATTGCAAGGGAGTCACTCTGATGTATGCTATCTATATGTGTCAGAATAGATATGTGGTCCATAGGTTGCTTTTCCCCATGGCTGATTTAGTTGGGTCACCTTTTTTGTTGTTTTATGTATTTTGCAGGTCTATCATTTGGTGTATAAATCTTGACCAAGGTTATGTCTCCCTGATCTACTGTGTCTTTAATCAGTATGTAATACCTTCCTTTTATGGTGGTTTTCATTCTGAATTTTATTTTATCAGATATTAGTATTGCCATTCCTGCTTTACTGAGGTTGTCATTTGCTTGGTATAGTTTTTACAGCCTTTGATTTCAAGTCTGTCTTTCTCTCCATTTTTTTAGTCATGTCTCTTGTAGACAACATATTAATGGGCTTTGTTTTTAGAATCCATTCCGCTATTATTTTTTCTCTTAACTAGTGTATTTAGTCCATTCATATTAAGTGTGATTATTGTCAGGCCAGGTTTTACCATTGCCATTTTACTGTGTTTCTTTTCTGCTGTTTCTGGTTACTATGGTCCATGTACTTTCCTTTGGCTTCTCCATGTGAAAGATAAGATTTCTTGTAGTTTTGGTCTTGTTTTCACAAATTCTTTAAGTTCCTTCTTTTCTGCAAGAGATCTAATTTCTCCTCAATATTTGCTTAAGAGCTTTGTTGGATATAGGATCCTGAGCTGGTAATTGTTTTCTTTCAGCTTTCTGTATATTCCATCCCATTGCCTACTAGCTTCCACTGTTTCTGCTTTGAAATCAGAACTTAATCTAATTGTTTCCCCTTTGTAGGTGACTCTTTGTTTTTCTCACACTGCTTTTAGTATTCTAACCTTCTCTGCTGCTTTCTTGACATTATGTGAGTCTTTTCTTAGTAGATAGATGTTAGGTTGTTGTAACTGCATAATGACCTAGGGTATGGCAATGTTTTGTGAAGAACCTAGCTATTGGTGCTCCCCTCTTGGGAACAATGGTCAACCCAGAGCTGGATGACTGTTGCTCCTGAGAAACCATGGCTCCACCCAGCCTCTTCTGCTTGAGCTTAAGAAATCTCACATGATGTAGCTAGATAGTAGTGTTTAGGCCAAAGTATCGGTGATATTGTTGCTCCTGGCACTGGACAGCAGGGTTAGTAGCTGGGCGGTCTCCAAGCAGAAGCGCAGCAGGGTCTCCAGGTAGCAGGGGCAGTGGTCTAGTTCTCTGGATAGACTGCAGTCTAAAACAGCAGCTCCTCAACATGGCAGGCAGTGGTTCTGCCAGCCAGGGTGTGAGTGCGCCTCGGTTGGGTCTCAGCCTAGCAATCCCCGGGGAAGCAGTGGCTAGAAGATGCTCTCAGACTGGTCATGCAACAAAGGCCTTGGCATCTTGCAGCAGAGTGATAGTGATGGTAAGCTCCTCTAACATGCGTGTCTCCCCAGAAGTGTGTGACTCACCATTGCCTCTTGATCATATGTTGTTTCATGAAATTCTTCTGTGACAGCCAGTTCTTTTTGGTTTAGTGACTCTGTTTACTCCTTCCATCTTCTTTTGATGCTTCCAGCATTCTGCCCACAGCATTCTTAAGTACTGCAACTAGAAGCCTGGATTTGTTCTTCAGTTCCTTCCGCTTAAGAAATGCCGACCAAAAAAAAAAAAAAAAGAAATGCCGACAAAGTTTGTTCCTTTTAATCTTCTCACTCCAGCTCTTTGCACATTTAAATACTTGGCTTTGTCTTCCCAAGATGCCCTTTGAACTCTTCTCTTCAGCTCCTTAACTTCTTGATTTCTTCCCTTTGCTTTGGCTTCTTGGTGCTCTGGTGCAAAAATTCAGAGTTTCTTCTGACATCCAGCTTGTTCTTTTCCTTCTTTGTAATGATCTTTTACATTCTTAAATGGATGATATTCTTGATAACCTCCCACAGCTCATATGGTCTTTGCTCATTAGTGTTCAAGGCCTCAAACCTGTTCCTGAGATAGTCTAAATTCAAGTGGGATAGACAAGTAAAGCCTTGGTTCTTGTGGATCTGATCAGATTTTATTTAGATTCCGTTTAAACTTGCATATGAATAGTTGATGGTCTATTCCACAATCAGCACCTGGCCTAGTATTCACAGCTGATATTCATTCAGCTTTCCAGTGATTCTCCCCTGCCAACCCCCAAAGATGTAGTCAACGAGTCCTGGGTAGACCATCAGGTGAAGCTCATGTAATTGTTTGTGTTTCTTACAAAAGATATTTCCAAAGAATATATTATTGATTGTAAGAATTCTATTATTCTACCTCCAGCCTCATTTCTGTCTGGTGACCAGGTCCATGTTTCCTGACTATTGATCCTTTTTCCCTGCGCTCAATTTTTTCATTCCATTCAACCATTATTATTAATACATCTTACTGGCATGTTTGATCGGTTTCCAACTGTAAAAGTTGGTAGAAGTCATCTGTTTCCTCTTCTTTGGCTCTGGTTGTAGATGTATATATTTGAATGATTGTGGCATTAACAGGTCTTCCTTGTATGTGTAGGGATAATATCCTGTCACTCACAACATTGTATTTCAAGATAGAAGTAAAAATGACATTTAGATGACAGTGACCTCGATTTTCCTCACCTTTTCATTTCCAGTGTGAAAGATCATATGATTGTCTGATTCCAAATATCCCATGCCAATCCATTTTATTTGGCCAGTACCTAGTATGTCAATATTTATCTGTTTTATTTCTTCCTTAACAAGCTCCAATTTTCCTGCATTTATACTTCTCACTTTCTAATCAGTAGTGTCTGCTTGCAACTGTTCCTCCTCTTTTGTGTTTCCCAGTATGAGGGAACAGTTTCCAGAGCTAGATCTGCTACTATGCTCTGAGTGTGCTCTATTGTGCTTTGGGTTTTCCAAGGCCTGTTATTTCATAAGTGGGTGGCCAATCCTTCTCCACAGTCTGTCTTAATTTGGATGCTCAGTTTTAGAACAATGTTTGACAAATATTTTACCCAAAAGAGCAGATGAGAGGCCTTTCCTATTACGCAGATAACAGATCAGGTATTAAGTCCTGCCCTACCTCTTTAGTGCATGTGTCCTATTCTCATGTCCACACCTGCCCTGAGAGCATCCAGCTCAGTTTCCTTTCCTTGCCCCTCCAACACCTCCCACCCATGCCCAGCCAATCCTGGTTTAATGGTTCAGGCCTCTGACTACCTCTGTCCAGCCATTTCCTCTCCACTCCCTTGTGATGTTGGTGCTCCTGTAGAACCAGTGGGGGCAGGACCTCTAAAATCTGCTAAAGGGTCAGCTATGAGTCAGTTGTAATTTGATGGCAATGAGTTTGTTGTCTTTTTTGTTTATTTGTTTTTAAAAAATTCTGAAGCTGCTGCAAAGTAGAAAGTTGTGGTTAGGTGCCTGTGAGTCGAGTTCAACTCAGAGTGGCCCTATGAACAACAGATCTGAACTTTCTCCTATCCTGTGGCGTCCTCACAATGTCTGCCATAATCAAGCCTATTGCTATAGTCACAGTGTCAATCCATCTGGTGAAGAGACTTCCTCTCTTTTGCTGGCCCTCCATCTTTCCAAGTATTACGTCCCTCTCCAAGGAGTAGCCTCTCCTAGCATTGTGCCCAAAGTATATGAGAGTAAGCTTTGTTATTTTTTGTCTTCAAGGAACACTCTGGCTGCACCTTCTCCAAGACATATCTGTTTGTTCTTTTGGCAGTCCATGAGATATTCGGTACTCTACTTCAACACCACAGCTCAAAGTTATAAAATCTTCTGTCATTCTTATTCATTGTCCAGCTCTCAGATGCATAGCCAGTGACTGAAAAAGCCATGGCCTGAATCAGGCACACCTTAGTCCTCAAACTGACATGACTTCTCCTCAATAATTTAGAGAGGTCCCTGACTGCTAGACTTTGACAGTGCAATACGTCTCTTTATCTCCTGACTGCTGGTACCAAGGGTATTGAAGTGGATCCAAGTCAGATGAAGTCATTGACAATATCAATCTTTTCTCCACCAGTCTAGTGGGGAGAAGTTTTATTTTCTTGATGTTGAGATGCAGTCCATATTGAAGGCTATAGTCTTTGATCTCCTGTAGCAAGTACTTCAAGTCCTCCTCTTTTTCAGCAAGCAAGGTTCTGTCATCTGCATAACATATGGTATTAATGAATACTCCTGTAATCATGATGTCACATTCTTCTTCACATAGCCCAGCATCTCAAATAATTAATTCTACATAAGATTGAATAGGTACAGAGAAAGGTTACAACCCTGATACACAACTTTCTTATTTTAAACCATGCAGTGTTCCCTTCCTCTGCACAACAGCTCCCTGGGAGAGGTATAGGTCTTATATGAATACAATTAAGTGTTCTGGGATCCTCATTATTTTCAATGTTAGTAAAAATTTATTGTGATCCATGCAGTCAAATGTCTTTGCATAGTCAATAATGCAAAAATAGACATTCTTTTGGTCTTCTTTGCTTTCAGCCAGGATTCATCTGACGTCAACAATAACATCCCTGGTGCCATGGTCTCTTCCAAATCTAGCTTGAACTTCTGGAAGTTCTCTTATCTATGTGCTTTTCCTGACATTTTTTAACGATTTTAAAAATTGTAAATAGACAAGATTCCAGAAAAAGAAAAGCATAGTAATGTGGACTGTGGACTTGGTGCCTTGGGGGATTGTATAACAATGAAAGATTTTTTTTTCTTTTTCTTTTCAAAGAGAAAAACAAACTGAATAATTTTAATAACCATTTACAGAGACCTTGGATTTCCATTCATTCATTGCTGCACTTCTCTCTCCACCCAGCCTCCCCCCAACCCAGTTCACTCCTCTCTTTGAAAAGTAAAAGAAACACTCCCTCCTATTTTAAAAAAAGAAAGAAAAGAAAAATGAAACCCAAATAAACCAAATGGGAACTAGGTCAGAAAATAGGTCATAAAGGACCTAACAAGGCTTATTTGTTAGTACAGGAGAATCACAAAGGTGTAGGCACTGGAGTATCATGGTTTTCTTCATTCCAGGTGCACAGGCATAACTCCTAGTGCCTTATTTCATAGAGGGATGGGGAGTGGGCCAATGGAGGACAGGCAAACTGAAAAATTGTTTCTATATTTGAATTAGAGACTTGCATTGGTGGTTGGGAGCTTCTGGGTAGTGAAAACAGTTTACTTAAAGATAGTTTAAATCTACCCAGAGATACATCAGAAAAAAGGTCTGGCAATCTACAACAATAACAACAAAAAATTAGTCACTGAAAATACAGTGGAGCACAGTTAAACTCTCACATGCAAGAGGTTGCCAGGAATTGGATTCAACATGATGACAATTTGTTTCTTCAGTGGTGGTCTGGAAGGAAGAGTCAGAATCTAGCTTCCGTCACTGTAAATCAATTGTTCGAGGATACACTCTTTCTTAGAACATATTAAAGTTATTTCACCTTTAATGCAGGCTTTAGGTACACTGGGGAGTTCTGGTGGCACTGTTTAAAATGAGTTACACTGCCACCTCAGAGGCTTTGAATCTCTGGGCATTGAAATCTGCCATCAGCTCTTGCTGTTGAGAACAAAGACAGGCAATCTTCTCCCTTTCATCTTACTGTCTTGGAAACACAGGGAAGAGTCAGTATGAGTTGGAAACAACTTGACAGCTATGAGTGTGGGTCTTCATAAGTGGGTATAACTGTTATTACGTTTTTTTTTAACTCTTTTTCAAAATCTTTTTTTACTGAGATAACATAAAGTTAACCATCTCAAAGTGTTCCATCCAGTCATTTAGTACATTGACAATGTTACACAAGAACCACTTATGTGTTGTTTCAAAATATAGGAGACCCCAACACCCATGTTGCAGTCACCCCCTCACTGCTCCTGTCTTTGATCAGTAAATAACATTTCAGTTCAGAAATGAAGTATCTTACTACTTTTTAAAAAGTATTTTCAACTTGATGTTTACTTAAGTTTTTATTCTTTAACTATTATTGTCAAATGTAAGGTTATCTATCACCCAACACTACAACAGTATTGTGACATTGTCCTGTATGTATATATTCCTTGTTTATCTTTTCCATTAAATTATGAGCTATTAGACGTCCTTGAATATGGTTTCTTTCAGTAAATAATAGAATAAAGACCAATGAATAAATTAATTAGTAGATTTTTATATAACCAGTAAAAAAAAGTCTAGCATTATTTAAGTAATTCAATTTGATGGTATCTAAATGTAGATTACCTCCAAGAAATCATGAATGCACTCGTTTGACTCCTCAACACCAAATGAATGAAAAAAGAGGGAGATGCTGTGGTTCTGTGGTGCTGTGAGCCTAATACTGCAGTCCAGGTCACTGTTATAGCTGTCCGGCCATCCAGGACTCTTCAGATTACCAAACGCCCTCTTGTATTCTCTGTTGCAGTCTTAGAGAAAGAAAAACGTTAATAATCCTTACAATGCTTTGAAAGGAATACTTTTTTAAAAAAATGGAATTTAAATACATTTTATAAATAAGCAGATCCAACCTCCTTAAGAGATACCTAAGAGGTGAAATCAGTTGTATATATATAACAAATATAGGACAGTGGCTGCTTAATATAAGATACCCTACTGAGATGTGACAGAAAATATCCCCTTATGAAATATGCTTACCTTGTTATGACTTGTCTCCTCCTATTTTGTTACATTTTAATCTATAGGTACTTGAGAAGGGTGACCAGGCATTGAGTGTGTGCTTCCTGGCCGAATTTAACTAAGCACTCTACTGTCAATTGACTTCTAAAGCCTCCTTTAGTCTTTAATTTAATTCTTTGGAGAGGATGGATGTACCAGAACCCCTGCATTTTTCTAATCATGTTGAAGTAGAAGAGAATGAATTTACACGTATCATAAAGCCTCAACTTCCAAGATAGTTTTTACACAAGAATTGTGTTGAAATTATTTCATGAATTACTTGTTCTGACAGAACTGGCAAACCATTTTTCACTTCCAAATTTTAATAAAATTACCCAAATAGTTTCATTTGTTTGTTTGAATCAAAAGCCACTTAGGTTTTTATTAGACACAATGCAGGCCTTAATTAAGTATTTATTTGGAAATAGGCATCTCAAGTATAGTAATCTATAGTAACTCTCTTTCAAGGATAGTAACTCTCTTTCAAGTATCTTTGTCTTTTTAACAAACTGATTCCCTAAAAGCGTAGTGATTAACAACTTTGTAAATATACTGAAAACTGCTAAATGTCATACTTTTCATGGGTGGATTGTCTTATATGAGAATTAAAGCTCAATAAAGCTGTAAATATATAAGTTTACATTTTTTTCTCATGCACACACACATGTGTACACACACACACACACACACACACACACACACACACACAGAGCATGATTCCTGTATGTAGTCAAAAGGATTGTTAGTAAAACAACTGGTATGTTTTTATATGAATTTTGAACAGGATAACATGACTTAAGCATTTTAGTTAATAGTATATTTACTTTGCCATTTCAGAAATGAGCTTTCATAAATTACTAAATTTTTTATTGCCATGGTTCACTTGAAAATCTTATGTCACATGGCGGTATATTATAATATGCAACTCCAAAATTCCTCATAGGCATCAATTCTGAAAATAATTACAATGTTGTTGGATTTTCTGAATAAAATATACAATTCTTACCAGCAATCTGATAGGTAAAACCTATCCTAGAGTCTGTGTTAAAAATGTCAGATTTAAACACGATAATCGCTGTGCGCCTAGAAGAATAAAATGCTGGTACAGATGAAACATTCTGGCCACAGAACCGGACTCCTGGATTTCCATTACTCTGAAATGAAATGGAAACCAAATCACATTAGTCTTAGTTTCAAGACACAATGGCTCACAGTGGAAATTAAATTATATTCACTAAAAGCTGTTTCCTATGTGAAGCAGAAACCTGACAGTGAAGGAAAACAAATATTTTCCACTACAAAGTGAACAACAGGAGAGAGAAACCCTGTCAGAGGCAGAATCCTGAGACTCCCAAACTCAATTCCTCTTGAGTTATTGCTCTTACAGATTTCACTTTATAAAAAGCTTGACTTAAATATTCAGAATGGTAACTAGTTATAGTGTTGAAGGGCTCAACATAGAAGACTGTGTAATAAGACACAGATTGGCCTTGGAATGGGTCATGTCTCACACTCCTGGAGGGAGTGCTGGTGCCCAATGATAAGAGGCTGCACTGTAATACCAAAGGCACTCGGTTTAAATCCAGCAGCTCCTCCACATCAGAAGGATGGACCGTCTCCTCCTATGCAATTTATTGCTTCTGAAAACCTGCTGTAGGGTCAGCTATAGGCCATTTCTAACTCAGTGGCACATCATAGCAACAACAACAATACCACCAACACACTCCCTGAGGAAATGGAGGGGCTGATTCTCTACTGAAACCATAAGACAGACCCTTCTTGTGGAAATACAAACCGTAGCCACTCTAGGACTCTGTAACTAAGCCCTGACCATCATAATGCACACGTTAAGGTGGCCACAGCTCACCACAGTTCTTCTCCTGGGGCGTTTTCCATACTCCTGAAATCATGGACAACAACAGCAACAGCAACCGCAACCTGCATGACAATGTGTGCATCTCCAGGTCTTCTGTCAACAACATACTTAATGTCTGCCTACGCAGCACCTCATCACTCGGGCACCACATATTCATCATCTCAAAACAATCTTTTAACTTTTTTTTTATTTGACTGTGTAGATCATAACAAACTATGGCTGACTCTGAGAAGTATGGGAATCCCAGAAAACTTTATCCTTCTAATGCGAAACTTATACTTGGACCAGGAGGCAGTTGTAAGAACAGAGCAAGGGAACACTGCATGGTTCAAAATTGGGAAGGGCGTACACCAGGGATGCATCCTATCTCCATACCTTTTCAACCTATATGCAGAACAGGTTATCCAGGAGGCTGGGCTCTATGAGGAGAAATGTGGGGTCAAGATTGGTGGACGATTTATCAACAGCCTGTGTTATGCGGATGACACAACCCTGCTTGCTGAAACTGAAGAGGACCTGAAGCGCCTGCTGCAGAATGTCAAGGACTGCAGCCTACAATATGGATTGAGGCTCAATGTCAAGAAGACAAAGATTCTCACCACTGGACCAATTGGCAGCATCAGGATGGATGGTGAAGAGATTGAGATTGTACACAGCTTTAGTTTGCTTGGCTCCATAGTCAACAGTCTTGGCACCAGCAGCCAGGAAATTAAAAAGAGCATTGCCATGGGAAAGTCTGCTGTTAGGGACCTCTCCAAAGTACTGAAGAGCAATGGTGTCTCTTTGGAGACTAAGGTGCGTCTGATAAAGGCCATGGTCTTCGCAATCGCTTGTTATGCATCAGAGAGTTGGACAATGACCAAGGAGGATAGAAGGAGAATTGATGCCTTTGAGCTGTGGTGCTGGAGAAGAGTATTGAGAATACCATGGACTGCTAGGAAAACAAACAGATTTGTCCTAGAAAGGGTTAAACCGGGTGGCTCCTTGGAGGCAAGGATTCTGTGGCTCCGTCTAACATACTTTGGACATGTTGTGAGGAGAGACCGGTCCTTGGAGAGGGACATCATGCTGGGGAGCGTGGAGGGACAGCGCAGGAGAGGAAGGCCCTCTATGAGGTGGATTGATTCAGTGACTGGGATAATTGGGATGAGAGTGTCAGAGACAGTGTGATTGGCACAGGACAGAGTGGAGTTTAGGGCTGTTGTACCTACGGTCGCTATGAGTCGCAGACGACTCAACGGCACATAACAACAACAACAACATTCCATATATCTCTCATTCCACCAGTTTGGTGCCAAATTACCTCCTAACTGATCCTTCTGTGTTCTTCACTGTCCTTCAATTCTTCCCATATACAGATCTCACTAAATGGAGATCTATCTTTCAAAGCCTGGCCGTAGAGCACCAGTATTAGATACCTGAGATGCTTATCAACAGTGCATATTAATGACTCATTCCTGGCCGAATCAGTGTCTGAGGATGGGGTGCAAGGACATGCATTTTAATTAAGATATCTCAATGATTCTTATATACCCCAGCCTTTAAGAACTGTTGGTCCAGGGGACTAAATCCATGTCTGCATGGAGGGGCTAAAAACCTAAAAAGCTGGAAATAACTTAGAGAATTTACTTAACCAGGCCTTCATCATTTCAAGTGTTTCCCACATACTGGAGAAAAGGTTACCTGGTGTGACTGTCGCACATGCTGTAATTATTACCTCTGGTGAGTCCTGGAACTCCAAGTAATTCTGTGAGCAGTCTTGGGAGTGAAGCCGGAGAGCCCACACAGCTATCTTGATCTGCTGATGGGGAGGAGCTTCAATGACCCAAGTACAGGTGTGAAATGAAACATCTGGGGTTGATGAATTTGGTGACATGCTACTTTGTGGGGTCCAAGTTGCATTATAGTTTCCTCCACAAGGCACTAATAAGGGAAAACAAGTAATAAGCTATTTTTTGCCAATGTTTTATCACACAAACAGTATTTAATAAATCTGTTTCCCCATCCTTCCCAGATTAGAAGAGCTATATTTACATCATTCTAATTAGGAAAGGAATGCCAAGAGAACACACAGGTCTGTCCCAGAGATGGTGAAGCCAGCTTGCTCTCTGGAGGCAAGGATTTTGAAGCTCCATCTCACCATACTTTGGGCATGTTATCAGGAGGGAGCAGTCTATGCAGAAGAACATTATGCTTGGAAGGGTGGAGGGTAAGAGAGGAAAACCCTGGATGAGATAGACTGATACAATGATCAGGGTAACAGAGGCAGGTTTGTTAGAAACAATGAGATTGACTCAGGATAGGACAGGGTTCAGAGCTATTGTGCAGAGGGTCACTATGAGTCACAGGTGACTAGAGGGTACATAACAACAATTAAGAAAGCATGTTATTTGAGGTATATTCATGGCTAAGAACTGTACCAAATTTGTGTTATGGATTAAACACAGAGTAATTAACATAGAGTTTAGTAATTGACATTCAACTCAATTTCTTGCCATCAACTTGGATGCAACTCACAGCTGAACAGCTGACCTTCCATTGGCTTTCCAGTGCTGAAAATCACTGCTGAGGAACTGCTGATGGATCTGAAGTGTCAGAAATCCATGGCCTTTGGGTTAACAGTACAATTCCCTAGGGGTTATGCCACTAGAGCTGTCTAACTGATATTGTTGTTGTTGTATACCATAGAATCGGAACCAACCCATAGCTGATCCTCCCATGAGTTTTCAGAGGCAGTTGATTGTACAGAGGGGACTGTCTATTTTTCTCCCAAGGTGCAGCTGGTGGCCTTGAACTGTGTGCCTTCAGGATTGCAGCACAGCTTCTTGCCACTAGGCTACAAGAGTTAACAATAAGGAGCGCTGGTGGCCTGATGGGTAAGGAGTTGCATTATCAAGTCAAAGGCAGGTGGTTTGAGTCCATCAGCTTCTCTGTGGAGGGAAGATAGGCTATCTCTTTCTGTGAGATTTATAGAAAATCCACTTGGGGGTCAGCTATGAGTCAATGGTGCATAAGAACAATAATTAATTGTGATCACATTTTGGGCATGTTGCCAGAAGGGACTAGTCCTTGGGGTCAGATATCACACTTGGAAGGGTGGGGGGGACAGCATAAGAGAGGAGAACCCTCTATGAGATGGATTGGCTCAGTAACTGGGATAATGGGTGTAGGTGTGTCAGAGACAGTGAAATTGGCTCAAGATAGAGCAGGGTTCAGAGCTGTTGTACACGGGGTCACTATAAGGTACAGGTGACTCAACGGCCCATACAACAACAATAACAACTGATCATGTAGTGAGCAGTGAGCATGAAATTTTTTTAATACACACATACATGCATTTCATAATCTATTAGAAAATGCCAAATGTCTCAAAGTACTTACTATCCATGATGGTATATGTCACATTAAATCCTTCTCTTTCTAAAGTTAAGTCACTGACAAATTGAACCGTAAGGAAGTTGCCAGAAGAGAAGAAAGGAGCAGGTATAGTGGAACCACAAAATGTTCCAACCAAGTTGGCATTTGGACTATCCCCATCGTACAGCTGAAAGGGAGGGAAAAAAGCTCATTAGTTTGCCATTATTCACAAAGAGGGCCTTTATTTTGCATACAGTTGTGAAGTCAGAATAGGGCATGATTGAGAATCAGTACACTGATGTTCTTAGAGCTGTGTTTAATTTATGAACAGAATTGTAATTGAATTGATTTCATTATAATAAGATTTTCTAGTAAAAATCTGGCATACAGTCTTACATTTTTTTCTCATTGGGAAAGGAAAGCACTTTTTAAAAATTTTATTTTATTAATTTTAATGAACATTTACAGAGATTTTGTATTTTCATTCATTCATTGTTACACTTTTTTCTTTGCCCCCTCCCCTCAGTTCGCTCTTCTCTTTGAAAAGCAAAAGTTAAACTTCTTCATTGGTATACAATCGCCCCCCCCTCCCCGCCCCCGCCCCAAATGCACTCCACTATGCGACCTTAATTCTGGATTCCTGTGATAATCATAACATGCTATCATATATCACTTTTTAACTGTTCTCTCCCTCATCTGTTTCAATTCAGTGTACATAATCTATAAAAATATGGAATGCTTCACGAATTTGCGTGTCATCCTTGCGCTGGGGCCATGCTAATCTTCTCTGTATCATTCCAATTTTAGTATATGTGCTGCCGAAGCAAGCACAGGAAAGCATTTTTTAAATGTGTCCTTAGAGTTAGTTAGTCCACTATTTTTACTTGAAAAAAATATACCCAGACTATGACTAATATCTCGCTCCTTCAACTCTTTTTTTGACATTTTCTACTAGTTTATTTATAAAATTTGAATACAAATTCATATTCTTTCAATTTCCCTCACCCCCCTCCATCAACCCGAGGATTGTACAACCCGAGGATTAACCCCCCTGGGCCCTCCACATCCACATCCCTCTGCTTCCAGCCTCTCCTACCCTTCTTGGATCCTAATACTCATTCTACAATAATAGTTTTATACAATATTTATCCTTGTGGGATTGAGTTAGTTCACTGAGCATAATGCTCTCCAGGCTCTCCCAAGTTAGGTAATAATTTACAAAATCATTGCTCCTGTGTGCTACATAGTATTCCACTGTGTGAATGTACCATAATTTCTGAATCCATTCATCTGAGGTTGGACATTGGGGCTGTTTCCATGTTTTTGCGATGGTGAATACTGCTGCTATGAACACTGGTGTACAAGTCTCCATGTGACCCATCTATCCCACAGCTTGGAATATATCCCAATTTTTCTTGATCTCAAACCATCTCAGCCATCCTTGACTTCCCCTTTTCCCCTTCCCAACTCTCACATCTATTCTACTTCCAGGTTTACCCCATTGACATCATCTCTACTACTGTCACCATCATCTTTTATTTTTATTATTATCACTTCTTTCTACTATGTCTTAACTCTAGAAGCATAGTCTACAGGGCATTGTTCTGCTAACCTGAAGGGGGTCAAGTCCACCAGCGAATCTTGGAGTGAAAGATGGGCAATCTCCTCCTGTTTCAGTTCCAATTCAACAATGATGTTACTGTGTACTGTCAAGTCGGGACCAACCCATAGCTGACCCTCCACTGGCTTTTCAGAGGCAGTGAACAGCACAGGAGGAGACTGCCATCCTTCTCCCATTGAAAATTTGAGTTTTTTAGTAGATCTCCTTCCCAAAGTACTCACTGCTCCACATAGCTGCTTGAATGCTTTCACATTTAGATTAGTATTTTCACACTCACTTGTGCTCTGCCTAACACTCTTCAATAGCTTCCCACTGCTCTAAAAATAAAGTCCAAACTCTTCACATGGTTTTGAAACCCTCACCTGACCTGGTGCCACCTCCTCTTAGATCACTCTCCATTCACTAGTGGTCTGTACTTTCTCCACCTCAGGACACGCCCTGCTCGGGGCTATGGCATTTACTACTGTTTCCCAGAGCATGCCTTCCTGTGCTCGGAACTTCGGGCTCCTTCTTGGCCTGAAGTCTTAGCATAGCCCCAGAGAGTCAACCTTATGTAGAATCTAGTGCCATCTTCTGTCAATGCCCTGCTATTTCATTTTCTTACTAAACTCAAAAAGTATCTTACACACTGAGTATGTATGCATGTGTGTGTGTGTATGTATGTATGTTTGTTTCACCCAGTGATGATGTATGTACCTCTGGGGAAGAAAACTTTGTCTGATTTAGTCACTGCTGTGCCACCAGCACCCAGCACAAGTCACCAGACAAAGCACCATATTTGAGAAGAAAATGAGATGAGAGAATGTTAAAAAAAAAATTGGCTGAGAAACCAGAAGTGGGCTCAATCTAGCCTCTGAATGTTCATTCATTTATGTCCCAATAAAACCAAATTACAAAAGAAAACGGGACTTTAGTAGTCATCTCTGATGGCTATGAGCTTTTGGCTCATACTTGTTGAAGCAGGGGAGGTCTGGATTTTGCTCAACTATGCCAATTAAAAATAAAGATTTCAGCTTACAAATATTCCCTGTCTTTGCAAAAACAAATCTCTATACTTCCAAAGCTCCAAATAGTGAGTTTATAACAGAACTGTGGTGGGTCAAACACCTTAGAAAGTTCTTGACTACAGTTATTATTGTAAAATGCTAGCAATATAGGAAAGAAATAAAATCTACTGTCACTGAGTATATTGCAATTCACAGTGACCTTCTCTAACCGATTTAACTAACAGATCATTAGGGAGGCTGCACTTTATGTGGAGGAGTACAGCATGAGGATTGGTGGAAGACTCCTCAACAACCTACGTTATACACATGTCACAACTTGCTTGTCGAAATTGAGGAGGACCTGAAGTGTTTGCTGCAGAAGGTCAAGGACATTAGTCTTCAATATGGGAAGCTCATCATCAAGAAGACAAAGATTCTCAACATTGGGCCAACTGGCCTCATGATAGATGGAGAAGAGATTGAGGTTGTTAACAGTTTCAGCTTTTTTGGCTCCACAATTAATGCTCGTGGCACCGGCAGTCAGGAAATCAAAAGATGAATTGCCCTGGGGAAGTCAGCTGTCAGGGACCTTTCCAAAGTGCTAACAAGCAATGATGTCAGTCTAGAGATTAAAGTGCACCTGATCTTCATGGTCTTCACAATTATTTGCTATGCACCAGAGACCTGCACAATGACTAAGAATTACAGGAGAAGAATTGATGCCTTTGAGTTGTAGTTCTGGAGAATAGTATTGGATATATGGAGAACAAAAAAGCCTGTCTTGGAGAGGGTGAAACCAAGTTTCTCCTTGGAGGCAAGGATTTTGAAGCTCTGTCTCACACACTTTGGGAACGTGGTCAGGAGGGACCAGTCCTTGGAGGAGGACATCATGCTTGGAAGGGAGGGGCAGTGCAGGAGAGGAAGACCCTGAATCAGATGGATTGATATGCTAACTGGGGCAAGATTAGTTGTGACAGAGTCAGTGAGACTGGCTCATGATAAGGCAGGGTTCAGAGCTATTTCACACAGGGTCTCTATGACTTGTGACTCAATGTCCCATAACAACAATAACAATACATGGTATATACAAAGAAGCTGTACACAAGAAAACTCAACTGTGAAAAAATATTTCTACCACTAGATGTCACTGTCTCTCTTAATGAAACATGATTTTAGTAAACTTCTTACAGGTGGCATGGTGAGTTAAGTATGAGGCTAAGAAGCTGAGCTGCAATCTGAAAGGTACACAGTTCAAATCCACCAGATGCTTTGTGGCAGAAGGATGGGCAATCTTCTTCCATATGATTTACTGCCTTGAAAACTCCCTAAAGGGTCAGCTATGGATGAGTTCTGACTTAACAGCACACAGCAACAACAACTGCTAACCTGAAGTCAGCATTCAAATCAGTTAGCTGCTCCTCTGGAGATAGATGGGCGGTTTCCTCCCATAAAGATTTACAGTCTTGGAAACCCGATGGATAGTTACTATGAGTCAGAATTTACTCAAAGACTGGAGTTTGGTTTTGGTTTTGAAAAATTGGTGCCATCCATAGGGGTATAGCGGTTAAAGTACTTGATCCCTAAGTGAAAACTCAGCATTTTGAACCTAGCAGTCACTATGTAGGGAAAGGACTTATCCGGTTGAGAAAAAATTGGGAAATATTAAGAAGGGGGCATATTTCCAGAAAGGAATCCAGAGTCATGCCCCAGAAGCCCTCTTTCAGCTTTCCTCAGTGCTCCTTATAGAAGGGTGACTGAACTGATGAAGGAAGTGGTGTTAGGGCCTCAGCATCTATTATGCGATCTGCAGACCCTCTTGCCTCCTTTTTTGGATGTCAGCCATCTGGTACTCAACAACATCTACAGATTATCAAATCTCATTCAGAAGTATAGATCTTGTGAGTAAATCTATTTACAAGTGTAAGATCGTACTTAATTCTTTTTTCAAGATTTAAATTTTTTATTAATTTTAATGAAAATTTACAGAAACTTTGGATTTCCATGCATCCATTATTGCACTTTTCTCCCTGCCCACTCCTCCTCCCCCATTCATTCTTCTCTTTGAAAAGCAAAAGAAAAATTCTTACATTGTTATACAATCCCTCCCCCCAAGTCCACTCTACTATGCAGCCTTTGTTCTGGACTCCTGTCATGACAACAATACCTAATCATATATCCCTTTTAAACATTTTTCTCCTTCATCTGTTTCAATGCAGTATACATAATTAATCATCCTTTCTAGGATGTCTTTCTTGAGTGCATAATGGAATCATTCTTGTCATGCTGTGTAGTGTGTACACAGCACTCTCCACCTTACTAGCAGTCTTGAAGGATCCTATCTTTAACAGCCAGATGGAGACACTATGCCTGGCACACAATAATGCCGCATCACTTAGAATAGGCATTATTGTTGCTGTTAGGTGCCATAGAGATGAGTACTACTCATAACGACCCTTTCAATAACAGATCTGAACCTTTTCCTATCCTGTGTCATCCTCAATCTCTGACACATCCATTGCTGCAGGCATTGTGTCAGTGAGGGTCTTCCTCCCCTTTGCTGTTCCTCTCTTACCCATCTTTCCAAACAATTCCTTCTCCAATGAATAAGCTCTCCTAGGAACATGCTAAAGTATACAAGATCAAGCTTCTCCATCCTTGCCTCCTAGAAGCACTCTGGCTGCACCTTCTTCAAGACCTGTTTGATCTTTTGGTAGTCCATGGGATATTCAGTACTTTTCTCACAGTTCAAAGGTATCGATTTTTTAAAGTAGCTCGAATTTCAGCAGCAACTGCTCCACAAAACATACAATTCACTAGGTAACATAGCTTAAAAACGTCACAAGTCAACCCTTTTAGAATGATAACGATATAACTATGAATGATTAATGGAATCGTTACATTTCTACTTAATCTGTTTTAAAAACTGGTATGTGTTTGGCTTTATATGTTCTCAAAAAAACAATAAAAGGGGGAAATGTTAAAATACATTTAAAGCAAATTAAAATTAAACGTAGAATTTAATTGAATAAAATTAATGTTTCTGAAAGTTATTTGATTTGGCTAAGAAGTCTGAAAAGAATCAAATGTCCTATTTATCTCTTTAATAAAAATAATTCAAGGTTCACATTAAAGGGCTATTCCTGGAAGTTCCAACTTTGTGGAAGTTGGAAAAGTTGCCAATGGAGGAAAATTATTTTCCCAGAATACAATACAAGAATAGATCTGAAAGAATTTCTTAGAGCCGGTGGGGTGAAGCATTTATCATGAAGTTGGAAAGCAGTTCCCAGTTTTTTTATATTGCTGGTTTTGTCCTGAACACCTTGAGGAAGTTCAGAAAATAAAAGTTGTTTAACAACATTATCAAATCCCTTTCACAGAAATGAAAGTATCTTGAAAGTAAATCTGGTCAGCCTCTTCCCAGTAAGACCGTGTCTTAAACGTCTTAATTGAATTTAAACACACAATCAACTCAACTGAATGCCAATGGGTCAGAACTGACACACAGCTAAGTCTCCAGCAGGTTTTCACATGTGTAAATTACAGGGGAGACGGACCATCTTTTCATCTCAGAAGAGCTGGTGGATTTGAACTGCCTGCCTTTAGATTGACAGCACAACTCCTTACCCAACAGACTACCATGCACACAAAAATTCACTGTTTTTACTCTGTGCTTATCTGGAATTACTCTAAACAAGCTAAGGGAATTTGTTTACAAATTACGTGCCAAGTACGGTGCTAAACTAATTTACATTATCCTAAAAACAACCACACAAGGCATGTGCTATGATCTCTTTTAAAAATAATAAATAAAGTACTGGAGATACAGGGAGATTAGAAAATTTATTTGGTGAGAAAACAGAATTGAATTCTCAAAAGCTTGTCTTGAAAGCTTGCTACTTTCCTGTGAAACCAGAGAGCTCTTATATAGTCTTCAATAACAGTTATACTGTTGTTCTGGCAACACTGATCTAATTTCAGAAAATAAGAATTCAATCTGAATTGACATGACCCACTATCTCTAGTTTTTCATGAGTTTTTTTCTAATCTGGCTTTTGCTCCAATACTTTATTAAAATGATGGGCAGGCAATATAATGAGTTTTCTTTTTTTAACCTACCTTGGCCTGTAATTTATAACTGAATAATATTGATTACTAGTCTTTATGAAAGAATCTTCTCCTGGCGTCGGTAATACATTATTCCTGGTTTCTTGCCTCCATTACCCCCTCCACCCCCTGTGACTTATCTCTGTTTCTTTTTCTGACTCTTGTCCTCTCCACTGCCTCACTCTAGACCTTTTCTAAAGTTGAGCTGAAGTTTGAGCTCACACATTCTTTCTCTCAAAGAATGCCTTTTGTTTCCCAATGTAAACATTTGTTCACTATCTATGGTACTTTCTTCTCCATTCCAGTCTCTACCTATTTTTTGTTTTCCTGAAAAAGAGAACATACGTAAGTAGATAAATTATCTGAAATTCCAGATTATTCAGTCACTTGATTATTATGTTAAGACAGCCAAGTATTCTTTTACTTCGATTGGAGTAAGTCTCCTAAATCCAGCTTCATTGCAGATTCCAACTTCTATGTTCTTCTTCTATCATTTGCACTTCAAAGCTTTCCCTTAGAGTTAAAATGGCTGTATGGATGGCATCTTCAAGTTCACGATCTTCTTTATATGTTTTCTCCAGAAAAGATTTCTCATTCACATAGTCTTTCCCATTGCTGTCACCTTCCAGGCAAAATAAGCTCCAGATGGTTCTGACTGAAATAAGTAAGGTCATCCTTCATTCTAACCACAAATGAGTAGTAGTTGTTATTATGTACTGTCAAGTCACTTGCGACTCATAGCAACCTTATGTACAACATCCCTAAACCCTACTCTATCCTGTGCCAACTTTATTGTCTCTTACATACCTACTCCCATTACCTAAGTTACTGAACTCTCCAAATGCATACACACCAGCTAATTAATTGGGTATATTCTTGCCTCACAGAAGCTACCCTCTGGACTAGCAGTGCTGTGGGAATGGGCTCTTGGTAAATAAGATAATCCTGCAAAGCTAGCTCTGTGTCCGAGGGGCCCACACCACTGTACACCTATATGCTTGGTGATTGGTTCCACTTTGTGTACACTTCGCTCATCATAGAGAATGGATTTGTTTCTTTTCAGTTGCTAACACCACACCATTGGCAGCTTTAATTCCCACAGAAGGGGCTCCTCCAGCTGCAGTAGCTGTGAAAGCACATTCAATCTGGACAAGGTTACCAGACATTGTCAGCTAAAAGCTGTACCCACATTCCACCATCTTCAATCAGAGCCCAGTCTCTACCAATTGACAATCCCATTTGTTCACCTCATTATTACCAGACCTGAAGCCATAACCTACAAAAGCAGAGCCTCTTCCTACGACTACTGACATTCTTGTGGTCTCCTGCTAGGTTTGCCATTTGTTACAGTAAATATGTTAGATATGTAAGGAAAAATTAATTCTATATATGACTTTTTCATCTAAAACCAAATACTAAAAATGTTTTTACTTCAAAGTTTCTTGCACTGGTCTTGTCTTTTCCACTATTGCTGCCACCTCTTAATTCTGGGTCCTTTTCTCACCTAACAGGAAGTGGCCATTGGAGTCTTAACTCCAGACTTTGATCCCTTCAATCTTCTCTGAATGCTGCGTCTAGATTATGTCATGTTACATTATGTTAGGAGGAGTGCTGGTAACCTATTTTTAAGAAACTGTGCTGCCAACATAAAGGCAAGCAGTTCAAATCCTCCAGCTGCTCCTTGGGAGTCTGAATGATTAATTTCCTTTTTTTCCCCTTCTTCTTGTTGTGTATGGCCGAATAGGATCCAACTGGCACAGAAGGAGATTGCCCCTTCTTCTCCAGTAGAACATCTGGTAGATTTGAACTGCACACCTTCGGCATTGCAGCATAGTTTCTTGCTGCTGGGCCACCAGAGTTCCCTTGGATTAATTTCCTTTTAATACTGCTTTTTTCTAGATTCAGTGAGAATATCTATCCAATCACCTCTTATTTTCATGTGGTAAAATAGAATTCATCAGCTTTTTTTTACTTCTTTTTTTACAAGTATTAATTCTTATTACTCTTTTTTGTTGTTGTGCACCGGAGAGTTGAAACCAACCCATAGCTGACCCTCCAGTGGGTTTTCAGAGCAGTAAATTGCACAGGCGAGGATTGCCCATCTTTCTCCTGTAGAGAAACTAGAGGGTTCAAACTGCTTATTTTTGCACTGGTGGCACAACCCTTACCACCGAGCCACCAAATCTCAATTTATTACCCTTTCACAATCAGTAAAATTGTTTGACCAAACTAGTTCTGTTTACTACACTTCACTTCCACAAAGGACATATTTTCAGTAACCAAAAGAAATCCTACAAGGATTTTTGCTTTCCTAGGGTTGGGGTGTGGAGGGGAAGTTGGGGGCAGGAAGAAGAAAGTGAAGATCACAATGAGCATGTGTGCACTTAGAGGTAGAGGGTGCGTGCTAGATAGTGAGGGTGTTGCCTCCTCCCTCTCTGAACAACACTCAGCTTTTCAGCATCAAACAACCAAAACTTTAAACACTATGTCAGTCTTTTATCATATCAGTCTTTTATCTCTTACTTGGTATGATTTGGGCGAGCTATTTTGGTGACCTGGAAAGGCTTTAAAAATTCTCCCATACAAATTAATAATAATTGCTTCTATGTTTTACACCAGTTGGTCTTCAAAAAGTTTGTTACATGCTAACACTACTCTCTGATAAAGGCGGTCACCTATATTCTGCTCCAATAAAGCCAATCTCTTCAACCCTCTCAAGAACACATATCCCAACTCCTATGTCATTTTTTGTTTGTTTTCTTTGAACAAAATGTCTTCTTTCTTAACTGCTATAAACTCTCTGTCATTTTCCAAGTCTTTTTAAAAAATTCTATCAGATTATAATGAACTTTCCTACATTTAAACATAATTTTAGGCACGTATTTAATGCCGCATAAACCAAACCAGAACATAACCCCTATTGCTTTATGACTGAGTCCACCTCACCATCACCCTCTAGGTCACTGCCTGAGGCTCTCTCTTTAATGACAGGGGACTGACCAGATGTCTTCTGAGGAGGCACCAGTGGATTCAAATCACCACAGACACACAGACCTTTGGTTAGCAGTGCCACCTTCTAAGGGCTACACCACCAAGATTCATCCACACCAAAGATTAGCCTAAGAAGAATATAGAATATCTGTGAAATTGTACATTGCATCCCTGAAAAACAGACTATTTTAGAAACAAATTGTACTCGAAATTTTCAGGACTTCATGAAAGCTATGGACTGGAACACACTATGACTAAACACTGAGACTAGTAGACTCTATTAAGAAAGAAAATAGTCTTACCTTTACATAATCATAAATGCATCCTTGCAAACTTACTGCTTCCAAAGCAAACGTATTGAAAGTGAGTTTAATTAATTTGTTGATAGGTGCACTAATGAACCATACACAGTTTAAACCCTTGTCATATCTTCCATTTGCATCAGCATCAGGAGAGGCAAAGGTGTAATTTGCATCTGTCAGGTAACCTCCACATCCTTGCTGAGGTCCTGTGTGAAAACAGAGACAAATCACTGTACAGACCAAACAGGATGTGGTATAACCAAATTTTCTAAAAAAGGCCAATTTTTGTGGCACACTTATGGGCATGAAGGGATCCAACACTGAGCTTCAATGAAGTTTAAGTGTGTATTGTTTCCGGTTGGTTTGACAATATCTTGACTTACTTCACCTCTACTCCCTTCTCAATCACTTCAGTTGCCTCATTGGTCTCACTGATACTTGTTCAGTTTTCCTCACACATTTGTTCAGACAAGTGTGTAATGCGATCTATTTCTATATGCACATTTGAACTGCTGATGCAATTTACTGAAGCCTTTTCCATGCTTGAAAAGATCCAATTTTATAAAAATATTTTGCATAATAAAACTGGTAAGGAACATGTTGTTGTTGTTATGTGCCAGCAAGTCACTTGTGACTCATAGCCACCCTATGTACAAGAGAAGAGCCGTAAATGCTATTCTACCCTGTGCCAACCTCGCCTTCTCAAATGCACTCATTCCCACCGCTCCACTCACAGAATCCATCCATCTCATGAGGCTCTTCCTCTCCTGCGCCATCCCTCCACTCTCCCAAACATGATACCCCTCCCCAAGGACCAGTCCCTCCTTGTAACATGCCCAAAGTATGTCAGACGAAGCTTCAGAATCCTTGCCTCAAAGGAGCATTCCGGCTTCACCCTCCCCAGGACAAACCTGTTTGTTTTCTTAGTAGTCCATGGTATATTCAACACTCTTCTCCAGCACCATAGGTGTCTATGTTTGAGATTACTGTCAGATTGAAAATTGTATTTTCAAAGAGTTTATTCAACATTCCAAGAAAACTGGCCAATAACAAACCTTTCTTTTTTTTTTTTTAATATGTAGAGTAAATAAGTACTTTGAGTAATCTGATAGAAAAAGCTTGACAAGCATTTATTTAATGTGGCAGTGCAGGTCAGAGTAAACCATACCCTTTACCTAATTTCTAATTTCTTTTAAAAAAAGGAAACTGTAAAAGAACTTTGTCAGAGAAAAAATACTACTACTAAATTTGAAATGAAAATCTTGAAAATCAGAATAAAGTTGCAAAAAGAGAGAGTATAGTCTCAAGATGATGACATTCTATGTTATGAATGAGAAATGGAACAAAATCCTTAGAAAATAGATTGACTTTAGTCCTATGTACAGCAAGCAGAGGTATCAGAAATAGGACAAGAGTGTAACAGGAGAAAACTTCCAATTTGAAACGGTAGGGATGAATGTAATCCCAAATAGCTCCAGTGGGAATAGGGTTTAAATCGATACTCAAAGCAATACTCATAGAGAACATTTGAAAAATTCTTCATAATATAGGCTATTTCTGGTTCCAAAGTTAAATTTCACGGGCAATGGCTTTCTATCTGCTTGTCTTAACTCCTTTTAGCCTAACAGAGAAAGGATTGCTTTCAACACTAGGGGGCACTCAGACTTTGTATTTGGATCTTAGGCAATGTGAATAAAGGCTGTCTTTAGCTTCGTTTGCAGACCTGAAGTGTATGAAATGTAGTTTCAGTGAGTATATTAATTAGGAGGATGCCTTGTCCATTGATTCACAGCCAGGTAAGACTATATTTACATAGTCAGGAATTTTCTGCACTTTGAATACTTTCAAAAGTCCATACCTAACATACCCATGGATAATGTCTAGGACGAAGTACTGGTTATGAACTCTTAAGTATTTCACAAGTTTTCACCACTTGTTGCTAACATACCCGAAGACTAAAGGTTTGGGTTGGCATTGCATTCATTTCAATGTGAACTGATTGCTGCTTCAGGAACTCACTTTTTAAATGCATTGAAATCCATAAGCAATTGGAATACTTGCTTAGGATATTAATGCGTTAGTTGATAGCTTTATTTGTTTACTTAATGTTTTTTCCTAATATTCAAGAAACTATTGTTAATGCTGCAATGGGTAAAGATGAATTAGGTAGCATGTTAGCAGCAAGACATCTATAAGAAAGAAAAAAAAAAGAGGATGGCATAATCAAGGACACAAGAGTTAACAAAGGAACAAGGAATATCTTGTCAAATTCATAAGGAGGGAAATCAGTTCAGTGTGTGGCATCCATGAATGGGGCTAGTTGGAATTCTAGACTGAAAGAATCTCATGACCAAAGATAAATGCACAAGAATTGACAGTATGAATCAGACAGAACAGTGTGGTTCAAGGCAACAAATACCACTAAAAAAGAAAAAGAATGAAGACCAGGAAGATGAAGTGGGGCCATTTATATCACTCTGAAAAGCCACATTACAAATTTTTTTTCAGCCATTATTCTGTGGATAACAGAAATTCATTTCAAAGATTCCCATCTCCACCCCACGCCAGGAGTAAGAGAATCAGAGAATGCTAAAAATTAATCTGTGAGCAGCATTCTATACACACTGATATTGCCATCTTCTGAACTAAGAGTAAAAAGGGACAATAAGAGTTTAAAGTTTGTTGTTAAGCATTATGATAACAACTTTAAAAGTTAAATGTTAGGGAGCTCTGGTGGCCTAGTGGCAAGAGGTTCAAATCTACCGGACACTTCACTAGAGAAGGAGGGGCAATCTCCTCCTGTGCTAGTAGGATTCAATTCGATGGCGCACAAGAGAGAGGGAGGAAAAAGGTTAAATGGTATTTTGAAAACTGTCACTACTGTGGTTGCTGTTAGTTGCCATTGAGATGCGTATGACTCATATGACCCTGCGAATAACAGATTCAAACCCTGTCCTATCCTGTGCCACCCTCGTCATCTCTGACATATTTGAACCCATTGCTGCAGTCATTCTGTCAATCCACCTCACTGAGGATTTTCTGCTTTTTTTGCAGACCTTTCTCCTTTCTAAGTATGATGTACCTTTCCAAGCAAAAGCTCTTCCTAACCACATGCCCAAAATGTGTGAGACAAAGCTTTGCCATCCTTGCCTCTGACTGAACTTTCTCCAAAATATCTATTTGTACTTTTGGAAGTCCATGGGATATTCAGTACTCCTCCTAAAACATCAAAACTCAAAGGCTTCACTGTATCACTGTTGTTTTTCTTATGTGCATCTGAGTCGCCTGTGACTCATAGTGACCCTATGTACATCAGCTTTGAAACCCGCCCTATCCTGAGCCAGCCTCACTGTCTCTGGCACCCATAACCCCAGTTATTGTGTCAATCCATTTATTACAGGGTCTTCCTCTCCTGTTCCGTCCCTCCACCCTTGCAAGCATGATATCCCTCTGCAGCGACTGGTTCCTCCTGGAAATATGCCCAAAATATGTGAGATGGAGCTTCAAAATCTTTGCCTCCAAGGAGCAACTTGATTTTACCCTCTCCAGGTCAGACCTGCTTGTCCTCTTGGTAGTCCATGGTATATTCAATACTCTCCTCCAGTACCAAAACTCAAAGATGTAGATTCTTTCTCTTTTTCATCCTTAGTCATTGTCTAGATCTCTGATGCATAGCAAATGGATCAGGCACACCTTAGTTTCTAGACTGACATCATTGCTCTTCAGCATTCTAGAGAGGTCCCTGACAACAAATTTTCCTAATGCAATTTGTCTTTTGATTTCCTGGCTGCTGGTGCCAAGAGTGTTTAATTTGGAACCAAGCAAGCTGAAATTGTAAACGATCTTAATCTTCATCTATCATGATGCTGCCAATTGGTCGAGTGGTTGAGACTCTTTGTTTTCTTGATGTTGAGCATCAATACATATTGAAGACGGCAGTCCTTGACCTTCTGCAGCAAATACTTCACTCAACTCCTCCTCAGTTTCAGCAAGCAAGGTTGTGTCATCTGCATAACACATGTTGTTGATGAGTCTTTCTCCAATCCTGATGCCACATTTCTCTTCATAAAGTTCAGCCTCCTAAATGATCTGTTCCGCATATAGATTGGAAAAGTATGGAGATAGGATATGTCCATGACACACTCCTTTCCTGATTTTGAAATGGGCAATTTTTCCATGCTCTGTTCCGATGACTGCTTCCTGGTCCAAATATAGATTTCACAGGAGCATAATTAAATGTTCTGGGAAGCCCACTGATTTGCTAGTAAGTCAATAAAGGCAGAATGACAACTGTACTTGAGTATAATGAGTATCCTTAAAGTTCCAAACCAAATTAATCACTATTGAGGTGGTTCTGACTCAGTACCTGTGTAGGTCACCATAGAACTGTTAATGTGGTTTCCAACGTTGTAAATCTTTATAGAACCAGACTGCTTCATTTTTCTCTTACAAAGCATTTGATGGGTATAAACTATTAACCTCTGGGCTAGCCATTAAATGTGTTGTAAGCACCATTTTAAGGAACTAAAGCACTGCATGTGACTCAATACTGACTCATAGAGACCATCTGCTGGGGTTCAGGGGCTGTAAACCTTTATGGGAGGATACTTCATATAATCTTCATGGGCTGTGGCTGGTGGATTTGAACTGCTAACCTTTCAGCTGTAATCCCAAGACTTCACTCTACAAACCACCAGGGCTCCTTATGAGTATCTTGTTGCTGTTAGGTACAGTCAAATTAATTCCAACTCATGCTTGGAAGGGTGGATGGACAGCACAGGAGAGGAAGAGCATGGATGAGATGGATTGATACAGTAACTGTGGCAATGGAGATTGATGTGTTGGAATCAGTGAAACTGGCTCAGGACAGGGAAGGGTTGAGAACTGCTGTACATAGGGTTGATATAAACTGCAGGCAACTCAATGGCACATAACAACAATAACATACTATGACAGGCTTGGAAGCAGAAGTGGCATCCACTTCCTAAACAGCATGCCTCTGGAAACTCTATGAACTTTAACAGTCCTCTGAGGCTGCATTTATGGCAATAGAAGACTGACCAGTGCTGCTGGTGGTTTGAATTGCCAGAGACGCACAACCTCTGGGTTAACAGCACGACTCCCTATGAACTATTCCACCAGAGCTCCCCGGAGCAGGACTTAAAACACAACAAAAACTCTGTCATCAGGCCAGAACCAACTCACA